ACACCCTTAAGGTGGAGGAGACCAACCCTGCAAAGAACCATCCCTGCAGGAACTACAGAACTGAACCAACCGAGCAGATAACTGGGACCAGCTGGAGGGAGCTCTGGAGTGGAGTATGGTCTCAACAACCTCAGTTGAGAGTGTATGTGTTGGGCCCCCTCAGAGGCCAAACCTATCATTCCAGGTGGGGATGAATGATTCCAATGCCTGACTGAGTCAGAGGGTCCCTCCTGATTGGAATCTTCTAGGGAGAGCCATCAAGGAGGGACACTAGGACCGAAAGCCAATCTCGGGCAGGCCAGAATAGGGCTACTAGAAATAAATGGACCCCGTCCTGGCAGACTCTCTCCAGAACTTCCGGGAGCAGAGCAATCGGGGAAAAGGCACACAGATGCAGCCTTAACCCCGTCTGAACAATGTTATCTAGTCCGAGAGGAGCTGGATGTGAAAGGGAGGACCAGAGTGGATAGTGTGAAGTCTCAAGACGCACACTGATCCACTGCTCCACTACATCAGGGTGGAGCCTCCATTCCTCGGGCCTCAGCCCCTATGTTAACAGGATGTCTGCTCCCTGAATTAGGTGCCCAGGGATGTAAACTGCTCTGAGTGAGAGGAGTTTTCCCTGAGCCAACAGGAGGATCTGGTATTCCAGATAGTGAACGCAAGTGCACAAAACACAGCCAGCATCTCCATGCAATTCATGTGCCATATGAGATGGTGGCCTTCCCACAGACCCCAGCCTATGAGGGAGACATCCATTGTTAGCATTATGCGATGACAAGGAGCCCACAACACCGGGCCTTGTGATGGAACCAAGACTTCCTCCAAATGTCTAAGGCACATAAGCATCACTGAGTGACCTTGATCATGTGAAGAGGGTTGCCCCTCAGGGAAAACCCCTTGGTCCTGAGCCACCACTGCAAAGGTCTTATGTACAGCAGGCCAAAAGATGAATCAAATAACACAAGCAGGAGAAAAATGTGCATCATTGTAGAAACGCATTCAACTCAAAGAAAAGTGGTTCTCTGTACTGGAGAAAGCACACTCTTCTTGGTGTTCAGCCTTAACCCCAGCTCTTTAATGTGAGCGAGAACAACATCTCGATGCCGAACCGCCATCTGCTCTGATTGAGCTAATGTCAACACGTCGTTGATGCAATTTAGCATGCTATCGTGCCCCGAGAGTGCTGTATTTTGAGGGTAAGGCAGGAGAAAAGGTGAGGCCCGTCTCCAATCCCTCTGCTAAATTGATATAGACATCTAAACTTCTCAAAGCCAGATGACTATTTTCATTTAATTCCTCTGAATTAAATGCAGCCAAACAACCAGACAAGTGAAACACGGTCTGAACGTTAAGCGGAATATTATAATAATATATCCAATTTAAAAGAATCGTGAATAATACCTTGCAAGCACATTAATACGTTTGCATGTGGTCGGAGGAAAGAGAGAGAAAGGGAACCTCCTGTCTGCTCACAGTTTCCCCCCGGCATTATTTTGTTGCAGACCTGTTATGCACACGTTGCCGAGATCTGAGCCACTTGATTCTATATTGCATAATACTTTCTTTCCTCAAGAATAAATGCCAGTGGGAGCAGAGCTAAACATTCCAGATAGTGCACATTTGTACACGTTGTGACATTTTATGAATGAGCACAGTCAGCCCCCTCAAGAGCTGACAGTGTGTACTCCGCTCCCAAACAAACCACATGAATCGTGTGTATACCCAGCCATGATGTAGTGAGAGCAGGGGGAAACAATTTATCTATAATGTAGTCTGCTCATTCGCAAGTGATTGAGGTGTCAATCGCCGCTGTGCCTCAGCAACATTGAGACCAGATCCGAAAGGACCACAAACATGGACACACTCAAACTCAAAGTGTGCCCAGCGGGAGCGGAGCGTTCGCAGCGGGAGCACAATGCACACAGTTGGCCCCCTCGAGAGCTGACTGTGTGTGCTTCACTCACAAACAAACAACACAACGTATTATTTAGCATGGGAAGGGAAGAACACACAATCTAAAATGCTGCCTGTTTTTCTTACACACTATTGTTGTGACTGGACTATGCACTGGCACAAACAAACAACAGATATTTCAAACTGACACACACAGAGCGCTTGCTGAAGACACAGAAGCTAACGCTGTTTGTTTCGGATTTGCTTTTAAGCTTCCTGGTCTCTACGTCACCCTGCCCATGACGTCTCGCCATTGCATTGGACTGATTTCACACATTTTTCAGGACACGGTAACCAGGGCCGTAAATTTCCTCTAACAGTTGGGGGGGACAATAAACATAAAATATCTCAAGAGCAATTTTTGAAGGGGACACAAATAATACAGCTAAAATTGTACTTGTAAGGAAAAGTATACACAGCCTTACTAGTGCAGCAGGGAGACCGTGCCAAATTAGACAACTTCAAGCTGTTGTGGTTGCGCCGCGACAGCGCTCCTGTCCATTGTACACATTACTATCCGTCAAGCAGGTAACATTATTATTGCTAACATAGCAGACTCATCGAAAAATACATTGGCATCATCTGTATTAAAGAAAAAATAATCACTTTATCCAATATTTAAGTGAATAAAATAGCCTTGACAGTTGAGTTCCACAACTATTGATTTTGTTCTCGCTTACCGGACTTGTGTGTGTGTGTAGGTGATGCAGGGTTGCCAGGTTTTCGCAACAAAACTCGCCCAATTGCTACTCAAAACTAGCCCAAACGTGTTTCGAAGAGGGTTCCCCGGTAAAAATCGCGTTCCGGAGGTAAAATACAAGTTTTTCGGCGGGGTTCCTCTGGTAAAATTCGCATTCATATCACGTTATTGGGGTTGCTTCAACCCGCGGCAACAGTGTTAAAGTAGCCCAGTTCTGCGGAAAAAACACAGACTTGGCAACTGAGGTGATGTAAAAGAGGAAAGCAGGGATTTTGACCAAAGCACTGTGAGGCAAGGGAGGGGGAGACTCAAAATGTTTCTAAACTTAAAACGCATTTTTGCCCCGTTTGCGTTGTTTTACTACTTAAAGTTAATTAAAGTATAAAACATTGTTATTTACAATACACAGCGTGGCTTTTAATCATATTTTTAGAGGGGACAACCCTCAGATAGAGGGGGTCCTGTCCCCCCCCCCGGGATTTACGCCTATGACGGTCATGCAGAGTCCATGCAGCTATCTTTTTTATGGAGGAATATTTACATTTTGTTTATAATTAGTCCTCATTAAGATTACAAAACGCTTTCTAGTTATTAAAATGGCCTTGAAGTCACACAGAGAAACAAAACATGAAAGTTAAAATAAGAAAAAGATAGACACATGTTGACTGATTAGTAACAAGCCCTCGGTGTGTGAATGCCATGGCACCCTTTTGTCATCAAAAGCATCCACACACACACATCCAGCTCTCTGCATTATGCCTCTTAACCACCTGCACCGCTAGCGTGTGTGTGTAGATGAGAGAAGAGCATCCAGCTGGTCAGATATCTACGGTAAGAGTCCAGAACCAATGATCAATCCAAACTCATCATTCAGCAACAAAGCCCAACTATCTCCCTCAATAACCCACACACAATCCACAAACTGCACGTCTCTCTCTTTTTCTACTAGACCAGCACACGTTGTTTCCCACCTCTGAGTCATTCTAATATTAAAGTACACAAATAAAAACCATCTGAAGACATCCTCTTCTGATGCTTGGATGTACAAATATACTCACTCAGCCCCTCACGTCCTCTATATTAGCTGTGTGCTCTCTCTAATCTCATTGTCTCATTGTGTACGGACATGCCTGATTCATGCAGGCTCATTAGAAATGCTCTTTTTATTAAACCCACACATACAAATACATTCTCATATGTTAGAAACTAACACACACAGACAGCAAAGCATCCACACTAGTTAAATATAATTTTCTGTATTTGCAGCCCAGTTCCCACATGGATTTCAGAGTGGCTCTGATAAAGTTTAAGTTTTAGATTTTGTGTGTGAAGACAGAGAGAATGAAAGAATGATAGATTGAACAACTGACTGGTAGACTGAGATATTGTTTGATAGATAGAACTTTATAATGATCAAGAACAATAGAATCAAAGATATTACAATCGATAGAATGATAGAATGACAGAGATTTTTGGTTGAGATAATAGCTCAAAAGAACAATAGAATGATACATAGAAAGAAAGAATGATTGATTGATCGATCGATTGATAGATCAATAGACAGAATGACAGAACAATATAATTATATAACAATAGGACAGACAGACAGACAAGACAGACTGATTGACAGATAGACAGCATAACAGAACAATATAATTTTAGCTAGATAAAATGGTGATGGCAACAATAGAACACTGTAAAAACAATTGTTTAAATTTTTAAAAGGAAGTGTTCATGCTGCCTTAAAATTTTAAGTCTAGTCAATTCAAATATCCAAGTTGTCACTTAGTACAACTTAATATTTAAAGTTGACTACACTAAACAAAAACATAGAAAGAAAGAATGATTGATTGATCGATCGATTGATAGATCAATAGACAGAATGACAGAACAATATAATTATATAACAATAGGACAGACAGACAGACAAGACAGACTGATTGACAGATAGACAGCATAACAGAACAATATAATTTTAGCTAGATAAAATGGTGATGGCAACAATAGAACACTGTAAAAACAATTGTTTAAATTTTTAAAAGGAAGTGTTCATGCTGCCTTAAAATTTTAAGTCTAGTCAATTCAAATATCCAAGTTGTCACTTAGTACAACTTAATATTTAAAGTTGACTAAATTTTTAAGGCAGCACAAACATTTTAAGTTTAAACTTTTTTTTTTACAGTGTTGATGCACTGTAAGCCCAGATTTTGTACTTAATTTTAAACTTAAATATTTACATTTGACTGCATTACTTATGAAATATAAATAGATTCTACTAATTTGTAGACATATTTGAACCTGTGAATAAATATCACGTTTATCTCCTGACCACGCCTCCCCCACACATGGTGCTGCGAGTCAGGTAATGACGCCATTTTGTCATTGTTGTGATTGTGTGTGAATTCAAGGAGCTGTGGATGAAAAGGTGGAAATTTTGTTTTAGACAGTTCTATGGACGTTCTTTTCCGCCATTTACCATTTATCGTGTCTTTCTTTCAGTTGAGAGACTGTTTGTGATCTGAGAAAATTGTTGTTTGTCTAAACGACATTTCTCATCCGTTATGCCAAGTTCACACTACAGGATTTTAAGCTCGATTTGCAAGTCATCGAGCTAGTTGTTATCAGGAGAAAATCAGCAGGTGATCAGCGCTCTACAAAAATATTAATGTGTGAACTACTCAACGACACATCAAAAGAGGCTCGCTGATTTTGCCTTGTCGACACCAAACAAATATCTAAATTAGTGCTGGGAAACGATTAATCACAATTATGTGTGTACTGTGTATATTTATTATGTATTTATAAATACACACACATACAGTATATATTTTGGACAAGAAATGGAATGGAATTTTTCAGAACAGATCATCACGCAAACAGCTTGCAGCACTAATTTCTTCCATAAGTCCATTTTCAAATAAACAACAGTTTCATGTCATTCCCATTCAACTTCTCGCGTGCGTTTTCATGAGACAACGTGGTTTGGGGACCAGATAGAGTCGTTGGGTGACAGATTTGTTGTCAACTCGTGTAGTGTGTCACCTCCTGTTGAGGATCATTTACGTAGTGTGAACACCGCAACGACTTCAAGACAGACAGCAAGTCATGTAGTCTGAATTCGCCTTTTCCTTTCTATTTCTTTTTCACTTGAGAAGCTGTTGTTTGTGAGGAGTGTAAATTTCTCCAGCAGAGGAGAAACGATGGTGGCGCTAATATGGTGAGTGCAATAATTTAACGACATTTAATTTTGACATGGCTATTGTTTGAAAGTGTAAGTTGAAGTTAATTAACGGTATAAATACAAAAACGAATGGATACTTCTGTTCTATCTAGGTTCACAGCCCTCTTAATCTTGTTTTGGAAGGAAGAGGAAATGGAAGCGATGCTTTGGAAGTGTAAGTAGGGCCCTCATAACTGATAAGAGAGAGCACAGCTGTTTAAACATTATCCATCAGTTTCACAGACAAGGCTTAAGGCTAGTCCCAGACTAAAATGCATGTTCAAGCTGTCTTAACTGAAAATACCTTGTACTGACATATCTTAAAATATCCGTGCACAAGATACACACCAGTAACGTTTTAAGGCGTTTTTATAAAAGCTAATTAAACATCTTAATTTAACTAAGGCCTAGTCCTGGAAGTTATACAACAACAGAACAATTTCCTTGTTCACATAAGGCATGTACATACATTTTACAGTAAACCAGGTATGTATAGGTGCATTCATCCCATGTTGTAATAACCATAATTACAAGATTCCAACTCAGAAAAAGCATTCATGTCTTTGTAGAACTCATAATTACCATCTGTAATCTGGGAATTTTCTGAGAGCTCCTACTTGTACCACCTGACCACTATACCTGACTGCTGCAGATTAATTTATTGATAGTGTTGCCATAGAAACGCATAATTCCCAGTCCAAGAACATGAACCGCTCCAAGTATAATGTCACAATATTGTCCTCTCAGAATTAAAGTAATTATGGCATGGCATGAACGCAGCATATGACCTTGAGTATTTGACAACAGCATTATCGAACTGACTTAATGTCTTTGACGATCTGTGTCTTCCTCTGTTAGGATGCAGCTGGCAAGACAGACTCCTCAGCGTTAGTAAAAAAAAAAAAAAAAACAGCTAAACCCATCTAGAGTGGGAATCATCTTGGAAGAACGTTTGGTCATGGATGAACTGACCAATCTCAGGCCTTCTATGTCCATTTTTGTTTTTCAGACTGATTTATGCCCTGTTTTTAAACCTGGAAAAGGTGAGCTGGCACCCAAAAATTCAATTCTGCCAATATTGTGAACTCAGAGTGGAGACAATCCATATAGTTTTGATACCATTTGTTGTTATTCTGAGACTGTTTATGTGCTTAATAAGTGAATTTGTTAAATGAGCTGTTCCATGTTTTATGGGGAAATGTTTTCAGGATATGAAAAATTCCTGTTTTGTTGTGTTTTGAATTAAAATAAAACAGAAAATTGTATGAATGTTCCTTTATTTGTTTGCTTTTTTTCAAAATGTTCTTTAACAAATTGGAAAAATAAAACAACTGGCATAGATTTAACTTGGAAATTAGTACACTGAACTTTTAAATATATTAGGTGTAATAACTGCAAATTAATTAATATTACAAAACATTTTAAGTTAAACAAAATGACCTTTTTAAGTTCACAATACTTAATTTTTTTTTTTAAGTAAATTCAACTTCTCTGGGTTTACAGACAGAATGATAGAACAATTGAATGATAGATACAATGATGGATAGAATGATAGTACCATAAATAGAATAAGAGAGACAGACAGAATGATATCTGCAATATCGATAGATCAACCAATGGATGGATGGATGGACGGACAGACAGACAGGCGGATAGTCAGACAGTTCAGTAGGTTTTGGTGTTTCTGAGTGCTAAAGTGTGTGTGTAGTGTGATCAGCTCTCCTGCTGCTAGTGTCACATGTAGACTGACTCATAAATGTCTTTAAACACTCATTAGAGAACAGCACTGATATAATTAGCCAAATAGGGACTAATACAGACCTCACACAAAACGCACTAGGAGACTGTTGCACTAAACTTTTTGAAGACAATGTGACGCTGATTCATTCAGCGTGGACCAATTAATGAGTCAAAACAGCAAAGACGTAAATTCACAGATCATATTTGTGTATACTTTGGACTTTGGGACATTAAGGGAAAGAATAATCACAACATCTAGAGTCTAAGAGAACCAAATCAGGTAATACAGAGAACAGAATGTTTGACACAAGTAATGACAACCAGATATTTCAAGACCAAATGAACGGCCATTTAAACTTACAAGCAACCAATTTAGTGAAGAGGAGGAAAAGATCTGTTAGACTAAGGACTTGGATTAACATTCTAAAACCAAGAAAGACATCTACCATGGCTGATTGTTCAACCTCATCCACGTTGTACAGTATATATACTGTAAAAACACAGATAAACTTATATAAGCTTTATGTTTTTGAGTTGTACCCCACGAAAAACTCAGAAACACAGGTTCTTTGTTTTCAGAAATAATGCATTGATGGGTAATTTAATATGCACCGATACATTTACCTTCAAAATCTTATCGTCTATCAGTTAGACCGCATGAAAGCGTTATACAAGTGTATCGAGACACATGCAAAAACACACAAATGTTTTATTTAGAGCTCATAATGAGAAAATGATTCCCACCCATGTAAGGACAAAATATTCATAATTACACTTTCCAAGAGAGAAAATGTAAGGAGGAGACACCCAGAGAAATGAGATTTGAGGAAAGAAAACAAGGATGAGGAAGAGGGAGAGGGCTTTCAGATATATAGGAATAAAAACTGATTTCATATAATGGGAACACGGTGTGCGTGGCCAGTCAAATCTCCCATTATCGCTGGCAGCTTTTGGATGGTTGTCTCGGCGGGAGTCCCAAGCACAGGAGAGCAGGCGGGAGGATGCTACAGACCCCAGCACAGCTTACATCTCACACACAGGCTCATCTCAATTCTGCTGGAGCTCTCACACACATCTTCACACTTACACACACGTCTTGGAATATATATATATATATAGATATAACGCACGAGTCCAGCCCTTTAATATCATTCAGCGCTCTAATAGTTCTTATTAGAACCCAGCAAGAGAGAGGAAATGAGGCAAGACATCCCACCAGGTCTGTGAATTAAAACTCTCCATCTCTTTCGTTCACCCACTCTTCTTCTATTGTTTCCCTCCATCTGTCCTTCTCTCATTCTGCCTTTTCTTTTTCCATTTTACACTCTTTTTTGCTATTGGGCATATTTAATACACAAGTTTCACAATTTTAGTTGAATTACTGAAATAAATGAACTTTTCCACGACATTCTAATTTATTGAGATGCACCTGTATATATACAAACTACTTTACATACTAGAAAGAGCGGGAGGTGAGAACAGAGACGGAAACAGGGACAAGACGCAGTAGGCAGACAGATTGAGACATGCATGCACGCAGCTGGAAAGCAACGCGAACAGGCAAAGAGTAAATAAAATTGAGATGGAGAGGGTGGTACTGCGTGTGTGTGTGTGTGTGTGTGTGTGTGTGTTCGTGTTTGTAATTGGAGAGGGTGCGGTACATTCGAGAAAGTCAGAGCACATATGCTGACGAGTGAGTTTTGGAGGGGAAAATTGAGTTTGAAACAAGGGGGAAATAAAAAAATTTAGCAATGTAGAGATAGATAGAGGAATGGAGAGATGGAGATGTACAGGCCAGGTAATCCAGGATGAAAAACAGAGCAGCCACTTCACCGGAATATTACTTCCCAGAATTTGTCTCTGTAAATCCCTTCGCAAATGAAAAGCAGTATCTGTCTTGCATCCCCTCCCCTCAATCGCTCACATACTGTATAAGACAGAAAAATAAATAGAACAACAGCAGGCCAGTCTTTCATGTTAATGTAATCTAAAATTAACTCTAAATACTATTACAGTTTGATATTGCCTGTATGCAACGGTTCAATGTGCTCTCCATGTGTCTCCATCAATAAAATAAATTTAAAAAGATTATGATTTTATATATATATATATATACACACATACATACACACACACACACACACACATATATATATATATATATATATATATATATATATATATATATATATATATATATATATATATATATATATATATATATATATATATATATATATATATATATATATATATATATATATATATATATATATATATATATATATATATATATATATATATATATATATATATATATATATATATATATATATATATATATATATATATATATATATATATATATATATATATATATATATATATATATATATATATATATATATATATATATATATATATATATATATATATATATATATATATATATATATATATATATATATATATATATATATATATATATATATATATATATATATATATATATATATATATATATATATATATATATATATATATATATATATATATATATATATATATATATATATATATATATATATATATATATATATATATATATATATATATATATATATATATATATATATACATATATATATATATATAGTAAAAATAACATTTTATATAACATATATATTTTAAATAACATACTGTACATAATAACATATTTTCTTAATATATAAAGTAACTGACATTTTACATACATAAAAGACGCTATTTTATCGATTTTTCTCTACTATAAAGTATTAAATAATAACAATAAATAAATAATAATAACATCTTTTATATATTATTATAATGAACAATTATAATGTCTAAAAAATCCCTTTAAATGGTCAAAACGTTTATTCTATTTTTCTCTAGTAAAAATAAGGAAAGCCAATTCAGCATCAACCGTTATGTATCACTGCACACACTGGAACTTTTGTATCAGATATATATTTATGAGATTTCTTAAGTAATAAACCCTGACCTCATTCTAACCCACTGAATTGAACGTGGACCTATGATTGCGAACAGCTCCAGACAACTCCAGACTATTATTACAGAAGAGAAAAGCATATTCAGGATACAAGGGATTTATTGAGACAGGAAGAGATCAGAAAACAGATCAACATTCATTTATCAGAAGATAAATGAATGAGCAGTGATGTTGTGCAACAGAGAGTGTTGTGCAGACAACAATCGATATATCTCTGAAACAGTCCTGAGAGGAGCGTACCGCTAGCAAACAGCTGCTCTCAGATCAGCCTTCAGCTCCAGCGCTTCTATTCTTTCACATCGCTTTCTGCTTTTTAACTGAACATGATTTGAAGAGAGAGAGAGAGAGAGAGAGACACACATATAGATGGAGAAATGGAAAGAATGCATGTTCTACAGCAGCAAAATAAAATAAATGTATATAATATTTAATATTATTTTCATTCTTAGTACTTTAAATATCTTTATAAAAGCAATAAGGCACTCAAGGGAATGCTGCTGTATTATAAATATATTAGAAAGCCACAAGCACTTTGCGTATAATTTATAACAATAGTCTTTAGCTGTGAAAATACTCACAACATAACAAGACCTCTCATAACTTACTGTTTAAATATACTGTATATACCATGCAGCTTACTAAAGAGGAGAATAGATAAGAGGTAATCATTTTCCACAACTCCAACGCATATATTCAATAAACAGCAAAAATACCATTGTCAAATCTTTTAAACATATGAGTACTTTTTCCATAAATACACTTACAGTAAATAAAAACAAACTCTAAAGCATACATAAGATGTCTGTCACCCCAGCAAACTAGAAACCCCTGCTTCCCTCCTGCTGTTATTATTATATTAGCAGTTATTAGCTACTTGGAGGGAAAAGTGTGAGAGGAGAGGAGGGGGTGCAGTGAGTCATGCAGTGATGTTAACAAATCATGTTTTCATCTCTCTTTTTTTCTCTCATCTGAATCAACTATCCCCACCCCCACCATTATAAACATAAATCTACCTAAATTGTTGGCAAGCAAGAAAATAAAACAAACACACAAACGCTAACAGCCAAACAGCCTAAAGCAGACTCAGTGATTCACTGCCAGTTTTGTTGTTTGCATTATATGATCATCAAATATGTAAAGTGATTAAATGTTGGTGTTAGT